TTAATATTTTAATTTCTTAATTTTTTTTGTTAAATTTACATGTGACCCATCTCACTGTCAAATGATTCTGGCTGGGTTAGGAATATCATAAAAACCAGGGTACAAAATGTATTAAGTACTTCTGTCCATTGTGATTTTTTGGACCACAATCTGCAGGCATCGTTGCATTTTACCTTTGCAAATTGCCTCTCCCCACTCATTTTTTTCCCCACCCAAATGGAAGACCCCCTTCTGGAAAACAACCAAGATGGGAAGAGCTGGGGGGCTCCTCTGATTTTCAGGTGGGGGCCCACTTCACGAAGGCCTCCGTGGGCCAGGAAGCATCCGTGAAAGATGGAGGGGGGGCAGCAATGGCTCCCTTCACCCCTTCGGTTTCCTCCCTGGGGACCTAAGAGTCCTGCTTGCCGTGGGGAGGGGCAGGAGGTGGGCTGGGGGGGGGGCAGCCTCTGCCTGACAGCCCCGTCAGGGTTTTTGGAAGCAGGGGGCAGGAGGGGGGGCAAACCAGAGCCAAAAATGACCTTTGGCCTTTCCCCTCCTGGGGACAATTCTGGACTCCGGAAACAACAAGTAGAAGGAACATCCTTTTTTTCTTGGCAGGAGGATTAGGAGGACCAAGTCCGCCATCTTCTGCTGAAGTCAGGCCAAAGCAGGCTGGAGTGAAGATTTCCCGCAAACTGCCTTTCCGCAGAGTGGATTGCTCTGCCCTCAGTCTCAGCCCCGGCCGCCCCCCCCTCGTCTCCCCCCTTGTCCCCCCTGCTCTTCAGGTTCAGCGGCTGCCCAATCCACGCCCCCTTTGCCCTCCTGGGCCAAATCAGAATAATGGGATAATAATAATAATGGAATGGTATAGGGTTTCCTGTCTGAGCAAGGGGTTGGACTAGATGACCTCCAAGGTCCCTTCCAACATCATCATCATCATCATCATCATCATTATTATTATTATTATTATTATTATTATTATTATTATTTTATTGCTACTACTACTACTACTACTACTACTATTGATCATCACAGTCAGCCAGATGTTCAGACTGGATTTGGCATTTTGTCTACCTATCGAGTCCTTACCAGGACCTGGGATAGGCAGATGTGGATGTTTGATGGTATTACAGATATCGTCGCAGGATGGAAGCAGTTCCTAATAAGGCCGCCTTTTGCAATTGACTAATAGCAAGTTTGTCAATTCCAATGGTGTTCAAGTGATGCTCCAGTTGTTTTGGGATTGCACCCAAGGAGCATATTACTATTGGTACTACCCTTGCTTGCTTTTGCCACAGTCTTTCTATTTCTATTTGTAGGTCTTTGTATTTTGTTATCTTCTCCAGTTCTTTCTCTTCTATTCTGCTATCTCCAGGCATGCCATGTTGTTGTTGTTGTTGTTGTTGTTGTTATTATTATTATTATTACCAGAATACGGTAGCAATAGCATTAGACTTATCTACTGCTTCACAGTGCTTTACAGCCCTAAGTGATTTACAGAGTCAGCATATTAAGGTGACCAATGAGGACAGTCCTCCTTTTGTAAGTTCTGTCCTCCCTCAAAAAGTGTCCTCCTTCATGTCCTCCTTTTCGATATTTGAAGACTAATCTGCAGGGCTTTTTTTTTTCTCATAGAACGCTCAGAACGGCGTTCCGGTACCTTTTTTTGGATGGTTTTTTTTTTCAACTTTTGCATGAGCTCTGCTACTCCCCCTATTGGCTTTTGAAAGCCAATAGGAATTGCTGCTGAGCGTGCCAAAACACCCGGCTGGCAAACTTTGCACATGCAAGTTGTCTGTATTATTGTTGCAATGAATAAAATGTTTCTTTTATTTACAACATATTTTTCTTCAATTTATTTGTGTCCTCCTTTTCACTGTAAAAAAGTTGGTCACCTTAATATTGTCCCTTACAAAAACAATCTGGGTCCTCATTTTACCAACCTCAGAAGGACAGAAGGCTGAGTCAAATGAAAAGAAAGACCAGGGGTGACATTTTAGCAGCCTTCCAATATTTAAGGGGCTGCCCCAAAGAAGAGGGAGTCAAGCTATTCTCCAAAGCCCCGGAAGGCAGGAGAAGATGGAAACTCATCAAGGAGAGAAGCAACCTGGAACTAAGGAGAAACTTCGTGACAGTGAGAACAATTAACCAGTGGAACAGCCCTCCAGAAGTTGTGGGTCCTCCGTCACTGGAGGTTTTGAAGAAGAGACGGGACAGCCACGTCCGAAATGGTATAGTTTCCTACTTGAGCAGGGGGCTGGACTAGAAGACCCGAAAGGTCTCTTCCAATCCTATTACTCTGCAAGGTGGCTAGATGGCACCATGCTAGTCAGCAGGATGGCACCATCTGTTTCACAGAAACGAACAGTGCCCAAACTGTTTGTGCTCAGGGCACCTGTGTACCTTAAGACAGGAACGGGCTTCAAAGAACAAAACAGAGACTTTTTTCTTCGGGAACACACCTTCCTTGTGATGCCGCCTTTCATTGTTTCGGAAACGGCTTCTGATCTTGCACAATACTGTGGGGAGATAGCCATCTGGCCATCACAGGACGTTCAGTCTGGCCAGCCAGGTCCTGGCAGCTGGACAGAAGCGCCAGAGAAGGAGAGAGGCAGCCCACAGGCAGACGGGTGGCTTGATGGTTCTTCCCCCAGAAGGTCTTCTGCTATTATTCCTCTACATCAGGGGTCTCCAAACGTGGCAACTTTGAGACTTATGGACCTCAACTCCCAGAATCCTCCTCTGGCTGGGGAATGCTGGGAGTTAAGAGTCCACAAGTCTTAAAGTTGGCAAATTTAGAGACCCCTGATCTACCTTGATGACTCAATCCGGGGTGTCCACAATGAGGGGACTCAAAAGGTGAAGATGGTGGCCACCACGATGTGATGCCAGCTCTGCCCCCGTTTATGGGCAACCCTTGGAGTCCTAGTACACAATCACCTAAATAGGAGCCAGTCGTGTGCTGCAGCTGCCAAAAAGGACAACACAGTGCTGGGCTGCATCAACAGAGGGATAGAATCAAGATCACGTGAAGTATTAATGCCACTCTACAATGCCTTGGTAAGGCCACACTTGGAATCCTGCATCCAGTTTCAGTCACCACGATGTAAAAAAGATGTTGAGACTCTAGAAAGAGTACAGAGAAGAGCAACAAAGATGATCAGGGGACTGGAGGCTAAAAACATATAAGGAACGGTTGCTGGAATTGGGGATGTCTAGTTTAATGAAGAGAAGGATGAGGGGGGACAGGATAGCAGTGTTCCACTATCTCAGGGGCTGCCCCAAAGAAGAGGGAGTCAAGCTATTCTCCAAAGCGCCTAAAGGCAGGACAAGAAGCAACAGGTGGAAACTAAGCAAGGAGAGAAGCAACCTAGAACTACGGAGAAACTTCCTGACAGTGAGGACAATTAACCAGTGGAACTACCTGCCTCCAGAAGTAGTGAATGCTCCAACACTGGAAGTTTTTAAGAAGAGATCGGACAGCCATTTGTCCGAAATGTATAGGGTTTCATGCCTGAGCAGGGGGTTGGATTAGATGACCTCCAAGGTCCCTTCCAACATTATTATTATTGTTGTTGTTGTTGTTGTTGTTGACCCCTCGCTGTGGACACCTCTGCCCTCCGTCCTCTACTTCCTCCTTTGTGGCAGAAGCATTTGGCAACCGGTTCCAGGGCGCCCCTGCAACTTGGTGTCCTCCAGCTGAGTTCCTGAGTAGACCTGCTGCCTGGGAGTCTCTGCACATCTGGAAAGGGACGGGCTGGGGAAGGGATGCTGAGTGTGACATATGTTGGTGCTCTGTGGTTCACTGCACAGTGGGAATCCAGCCGTTGTTTTAGCTTATAAAGGAGAATTGTTGTAGGTTGAGGTGGAAATGTGGGGTCCTTGATGGTCTCTGAGCTTGGCAGTTTTGATCCAGACGTTTCATGACCCAAACTAGGGAACATCATCAGTGCTAGAAGAGAGAGGGGTTTATGGGGAGGAGGAGGAGGAGGAGGAGGAGGAGGAGAACTGTGGGGTCCTGGGTGCTCTTTGAGCTTCGCTGTTATCTTGCAGATGTTTCATGACCCAAACTAGGGAACATCATCAGGGCCCGATTCTCTGATGAACTCACCTAGTTGGATAATGAAATGTCTGCAAGAAAACCACCAAGCTCAGAGAGCATCCAGGACCCCTTATTGTTTTAGCTTCTGGATACTCCAACTGTGAATTGTCTGCATAGTTTGGAAGAAATTTGAAACCTACCATCACAGAATCCTAGGACTGGAAGGGAACTTGGAGATCATCTAGTCCAACCCCCTGCTCAGGCAGGAAACCCTATACCAGGGGTAGGCAACCTTGGCTCTTTGATGACTCGTGGAAGTCCACGAGTCATCAAAGAGCCAAGGTTGCCTACCCCTGCCCTATACCATTTCCGACAAATGGCTGTCCAGTCTCTTCTTAAAAACTTCCAGTGTTGGAGCATTCACTGCTTCTGGAGGCAGGCTGTTCCACTGGTTAATTGTTCTAACTGTCAGGAAGTTTCTCCTTCACTCCCGGTTGCTGCTCTCCTTGATTAGTTTCCATCCATTGCTTCTTGTCCTGCCTTCTGGTGCTTTGGAGAACAGGTGGACCCCCCCTTTCTTTGGGGCAGCCCCTCAAAAACTGGAGACCCACGGAGAATTCTGCAATGGTCGTAAGTCATTTTTCCCAGCGCCATTGTAACTTCAAACAGTCACTAAAGGATCTGTTGTAAATTACAGGCTGCTATTATTTATTTCCTATTTTTTACTTCATATATAAGAGCATATAGCTAACATCTTTGCTCTCTGGGCTGCCCAGGGGCCTCCCCGGGGTGTGTGTGTGTGTGTTGTGTGTGGGTGGACTCACAACGGTGGCTGCCACTATTCCAGCAAAGCCTTATGTGCTGCTGCAGCTCTGCCCCCCAACCCAAAAGGGGGGCTTTTCACAAGGGAGTGAAGCTTTTGATTCACAGACCAGTCCGTGGGGTGCCACGAGAAAGAATTGCCTTTATTGGGGGGAGGGGGAGACACCAGCTGCTTCCCAAGGAGTCCTGAGGCCTGGGGTGCAGCACCGCCGGCCGTGTGTCCGTCCTCCTCCTGTCCTGGAGACATCCTAGCCAGTCCGGGGTCTCAGTCGAAGAGGGGGTCTGCGGAGGAAAGGCAAGGGAGGCACTGGGGCAACCGGGGCGAGCACCCCCATTCGTATGAGGAGGAGGGATAAAATGGGGCCTTTCAGGCAGCTGCCCCTTATGCTTCGGCCCTCCTCCTATGACTCAGACCCCCGACTGGCTGCCCCCCCCCCGAGGGGATGGAGGCTGTCTCCCTTTTCTGTGGTGGGATTTCCAGCTAGGGGCCCCAACTTGGGGGGGAGGGGTCAAGAGAGGGCCCAGCTGGGGGGGAGGAGTCAAGAGGGACCCCAGCTTGGGAGGGAGGGTCAAGAGGGACCCCAGCTTGGGGGGGAGGAGTCAAGAGGGACCCCAGCTTGGGGGGGAGGAGTCAAGAGGGACCCCAGCTTGGGGGGGAGGAGTCAAGAGGGACCCCAGCTTGGGGGGGGGAGGAATCAAGAGGGGGCCCAGCTTGGGGGGGAGGAGTCAAGAGGGACCCCAGCTTGGGAGGGAGGGGTGAAGAGGGGGCCCAGGTTGGGGGGAGGGGTCAAGAGGGGGTCAGGTTTGGACCCTTGCATTGCAGGAAGTCTCCCAGGCCTGCTGTCCCCCCGAATCCCTGGAGGCTCATCTGACGGTTCCCAAGGGGAGGCAGTCAGTCTGGGGAGATTCTTGCCATGCAGCTAGTCCTCAGTTTACGAACACGAGTGACCCAAAAAATTCAGACATTTCTTAAGTGAGTTTTGCCCCATTTTACAATCTCTCTTGCCTCGGTTGTTAAGTGAATCACTGCAGTCGGTAAGTGAGTAACTCGGTCGTTAAGTGAATCTGGCTTCCCTATTGACTTTGCTAGTCAGAAGGTCGCAAAAGGGGACGACGTGACCCAATCGGGACGCTGCGACCGTCATAAATACGAGTCAGTTGCCAAGCGTCTGAATTTTGACCATGTGACCGCGGGGAGGCAGCAAACGGTCGTAAGCATGAAAAATGGTCTTAACTCACGCCCCCCCTATAAAAACCTGCCTCTGTACCCCATTTCTCTGCAGCGGTTTTGCATTTAGGGATAAATATTTCTTCTTTCCTCACAGCTTGCCTGGATCTCATTCGTGTTTATAGTTTGAGTTCTCCCAAAGATGCTTTCTCAGGAGTCTTGTTTTTTCCTTTGAAGACATTTCGCTTCTCATCCTGGAAGCTTCCTCAGGTTCTGACCGAATGGTGGGGAAGGAAAGTATTTATACTCCTTGCAGACAGCTGGTCCTTTGCCTCCTTTTGGAGAGTCTTTGAGGCCACTTAGAGGTTTACCTGCATCCTCAGGATCACCGGAGTGGTGCGAATGGGTGTTGAGCCTTCCTGGAACTGCTCAAAGGACTTTGTGGTAGACTGGAGATGGATGATGTTGTCCCCCCACCCCCAGCCCCGGTTGAGAGAGGGCAGTTCCGTTTTGACATAGACGGCCTCTTTGACCCCTCTTTCAAACCAGCAGTCCTCTCTGTCCTCCAGGTGACCTCAAGGACTCTCTAAAACAGTGGTTCTCAACCTTTTTAATGCCGCGACCCCCAACCGGTCGTAAGTCGAGGACTATTCAGCCGGTCGTAAGTTGAGGACTACTCAACTGGTGCAGCACCGTTTGCAGAATGGGACTTTTGGCGGGCTCAGCAGGGCAGAGACAGCCTGGACAATTCCTATTGGCTTTTGAAAGCCAATAGAATTAGACTCTATTCAAGAGAGTCTATTCTATTGGCTTTCAAAAGCCAATAGAATAAAAGGAAATAGCACAGCTAAGGAAAAGGGGGGAAAAAATGGCGGACTGCGTTGTTTGGCGACCCCTGTGAAATGGTCGTTCGACCCCAAGTGGGGTCCCGACCCACAGGTGGAGAACCACTGCTCTAAAAGAAGGCAAAGGACCGGCTGTCTGCCAGGAGCATAAATCCTTCCCCACCATCCGGTCAGAACCTGAAGAAGCTTCTGGGATGAGAAGTGAAATGTCTTCAAAGGAAAAACAAGGAAGTCCAGTTGCCTTCTGGGAAAAAAAAAAAAGCAACTTTGAGACAACCAGGACCTGGATGGCTAAGAATCTCCGTAGACATTCTTGGGACCCCAAATTATTCTCCTGCTTTTTGGAAAAAAGATAAACCAAGGGTCAGATTTGGGCATCCCTGGGCAGGGACTGTGTCCTGGGGGGCCCAGCTTGCCCCTCCTGAGCTGGGCACAAGGGTGGTGGGGGTCTTTGGGGGTCCGGGTCTACGTGAATGCTGCCCCGCGAGCCTCCCCCCTCACCTGGCCGGCTCCTGCCACAGGCTCTCTCACACTCGGCTCTGCCCCTGCAGTTGTTGGCGTTGCCTGGGCAACCGATGTACATGAAGAACCGGCAGTGCCCGTGCCTGGAGCTGTAGTAGTAGCGTGGGTGCAGCTCCCGGCAGGGTCCTGGCTCCGGGGGCAGCTGGCATCGCGAGTGGCACTCTGGATGGGGCGAGAGGCAGGCGTCACTGGGCAGGGGCTCCGGCTGGGCCCAGGGGAGGGAAGGGGGCCGGGGGTGGTGGGGGCCATGCGGGGGGCTTACCTGGCGTCAGGCAGACTTGGCCACAGCTGTCGAAGCAGCATTTCTCTTCCGGGAGGCACTGTTGGTCGTCGATGCAGGTGTGGTTGCAAGGCACCAGGGTCTGCAGGACAGGCATCTTGGGACAGACGCCCGGGTGCTCTGCCCAGGGAGGAAAGGTGGGTCGGCTGGGTGTCCTCCCGGGGTGGGGTCTATGACCCCACGACCCCTCTCCGCTGCCCAATTGGGCTGCCCTTCTTGCTTTCAATGGAGATGGAAGCTATGTGGCTGCCTCTGCTGCAGGGCCTCTGAGCAGGAACAGAGGGCGTCTCCACGTGGCAGCTCCCAGCTGCCCGTTTGGCCTAGTGGGCCCTCTCCACCCCCCCCCGGGGGAGCTTGGGGGGTTAGAATAGAATAACGGAGGAGAAATTTCCTGAAAGTGAGAAAAATCAACCTCTGTTTAGAATAGAATAGAATAGAATAGAATAGAATAGAATAGAATAGAATAGAATTATGGGTTAGAATAGAATAGAATAGAATAGAATAGAATAGAATAGAATAGAATAGAATTATGGGTTAGAATAGAATAGAACAGAATAGAATAGAATAGAATGATAGAATAGAATAGAATAGAATAGAATAGAATAGAATAGAATAGAATAGAATAGAATAGAATAGAATAGAATAGGATAGGATAGGATAGGATAGAATAGAATAGAATAGAATAGAATAGAATTATGGGTTAGAATAGAATAGAATAGAATAGAATAGAATAGGATAGGATAGGATAGGATAGGATAGGATAGGATAGGATAGGATAGGATAGGATAGAATAGAATAGAATAGAATGATAGAATAGAATAGAATAGAATAGAATAGAATAGAATAGAATAGAATAGAATAGAATAGAATTATGGGTTAGAATAGAGTAGAGTAGAGTAGAGTAGAGTAGAGTAGAGTAGAGTAGAGTAGAGTATGGAATGGAATAGAATAGAATAGAGTAGGAATAAAAGAATAGAATAGGAAAAGAACAGAACAGAGCTGGAAGGGACCTTGGAGGTCATCTAGTCCAACCCCCTGCTCAGGCAAGAGACCCTACCCCATTCCAGACCAATGGTTGCCCAGTCTCTTCTCAAAAACCTCCAACTTCTGGAGGCAAGGAGTTCTGTCGATTCATTGTTCTCCCTCCTTAGTTCCAGCTCTCTCCTCGATTCATCGTACCTTCCACGGGCGCCACGCAGGACTCGTGGCAGCCGTCCTGGCAGCACTTCCTCCCGGGGAAGCGGAGGGCGCAGTCCGAGTCCCGCCGGCAGCTGGCCAGGCAGAGGAGCGGGTGGCGGCCGGAGGGGCTCCGTCGGGGACAGTAGCCGCGGAGGGCTGCCGGGTGGGGAGAAGGTGAGGAGGGGGTCCCGCCGCCTGGCGTGAAGCCCCCGCAGCCCGAGCCCCGCCGGGAGAGGCTGGGCCGCTGCCTCCGCTTCTGGGTCTCGAGAGGCAGGCCGCCATCCGCCAGGTGAAGCACACAGCGGGAAGGTAAGGGAGCGGCCCCTCCGCCCCCCCTCCCGCCCCCCAGCTGGATATTTCGGGCGGCCCCCGGGCAGTTCCCGCGGGCCGGGGGCGTCCGGAGGGGGGCGAGGGCAGCAGCAACCCCCTCCCCTCTTTGCCGACCCCTTTGAGGCGCAGGAGCCGGGTCTGGGTCTGGGGAAGGGCGAAAGGGGGGGAGGGCGCCGGGGGTCCCTTTCCCAGCCCCCCCCCCTGCGTGGGGTGGGTGAGCGGGGAGGGGGGCGCTACCTCCCACGGGCCGGTGGCCCTGCCGTCCGCAGCCGGTCCGGCAGCAGCTCTGGGCGCCCGGGCAGCTGTGGTCCGAAGCGCAGAACGGCCGGCAAGCCTTGTCCCGGAGGGCGGCGGGGGGCGGGCAGGCGCCGGGCCTGACCGGGGCTGGAAGAGAGGAAGGAGAAGGGGCGAGGCTGCGAGGGTCTCTCTCTCTCTTCCCCCCACCCCCCACCAGCCCCCGGCCCGCTTGAAGGTCCGGCTCGAATATGGAAATACAAAGTCCTTTCTGAAAACGTTTCCCGGTTGGTTGAATGCCTGGCATGGAATAGGCAAGGTTCACTCTTGACCTTGACCTTTTGACCCTTTGGGTAGGGGGAATTGACCCGAAGTCTTTGGGGGGTGTTCCTTACAACAGCCCCCCCCTTGGCACAAAGTGGCAATCCTCCCCCTTCTCCTCTTCTTCCTCCGCCATCCCTTTCTCATCTTCCTCTTCCTTCTTCCTCCTTCCTCCTCCCTCTTCCTCTTCCCCCTCCTCTTCCTTCCTCCTTCCTCCTATCTCTTCTTCTTCCCCTCCTCTTCTTCCTCATTCTTCCCCCTACCTCTTCCTCTTCCCCCTCCTCTTCTTCCTCTTTCCTCTTCCTCTCCCTCCTTCTTCCTCCTTCCTCCTATCTCTTCCTCTTCCCCTCCTCCTCCTTCTTCTCCCCTCCCTCTTCCTTTTCCCCCTCCTCTTCCTCCTCCTTCTTCTTCCTCTTCCCTCCTCCTTCCTCCTTCTTCCTCCTACCTCTTCCTCTTCCCCCTCCTCTTCTTCCTCTTTCCTCTTCCTCTTTCCTCTTTCCTCCTCCTTCCTCCTTCCTCTTCCCCCTCCTCTTCTTCCTCTTTCCTCTTCCTCTTCCCTTCCTCTTCTTCCTTTCCTCTTCCCTTCTTCTTCCTTCTTCCTCCTACCTCTTCCTCTTCCCCCTCCTTTTCTTCCTCTTTCCTCTTCCTCTTCCCTCCTTCCTCTTTCCTCCTACCTCTTCCTCTTCCCCCTCCTCTTCTTCCTCTTTCCCCTCCTTCTTCCTCCTTCCTCCTACCTCTCCCTCTTCCCCTCCTCTTCTTCCTTTTTCTTCTCCCCTCCCTCTTCCTCTTCCCCCTCCTCTTCCTCCTCCTTTCTCTTCCTCTTCCCTCCTCCTTCCTCCTTCTTCCTCCTCCTTCTTCCTCTTCCCCTCCTCTTCTTCCTCCCTCCCTCTTCCTCCCCCTCCCCCACTCTTCTTCCTCCCCACGCCCCTTCCTCTCCCACGTTGACCCCCTCTCCCCCCCCCCTCTGCACCATCGACTCCCACAGTCCACAGCCCACGGGGTGGGGTGGATTGGGGGTGAAGTCAAACATCCCGAGGGGAGGGGGCAGCACTGCAACCGCAGAGCACAGAGGTAAATCGGTCATTTGAGGAGGGGGGAATTGGAAATGTGCAGGGGGGGTGAATGGGCAGGAAGAGAGAGTTGCTCATTCTGCCCCCCCCCATCAGTTCCCCTCCCCAAGGTTAATGAAGGGAATTGAGGAGAATGGCAGTGCAGGGACACTCCCCCCCACCCCCCCTGATAAATGTGAGTGCAAAAGGTTCTCCCCAGTTTTCACCCACTGGCAAACGGGCACCTCGAACTGTGCCCGATGGTGATGGAGACGACGGGGTGGGTGGGTGGGTGTGGAGGAACCCTGACACCCCCACAGTTGACCCCTCCCCCCCAGGTCGTAAAGTTGCGATAGCTGCTCACCCTACCTGGACTGAGCCTCCCTGAGAGGAGAAGATGGCAGGGTGGTCCACCCTGCAAAAGCCCAAAAAACAAAAACAAAATCAGAATAACAAAGTCAGAAGGGACCTTGGAGGTCATCTAGTCCAACCCCATGCTCAAGGAGACTGGGCAGGGCATAACCCCAACTCTTTGGAGTTCTGGGTCTCTCTGTCTCTGCTGAAAAAGTGTGTGTGTGTGTGTGTGTGTGTGTGTGTGTGTGTGTGTGTGTCTCTTACGTGAAGGGGAACAGGCCCGCTCGCAGCTCTCCGGGTGCAAAGAAGAGACGGGAGCCACATCTGCAAAAGCCAAATAACAGAATGACGGAGCTGGGAGGGGCCTTGGAGGTCTTCTAGTCCAGCCCCCTGCTCAAGCAGGAGACCCCCCAATACTATTTCAGGCCCATCCTTTCCCCCCCCCCAGAGGCAAGCAGCATCTGAGCTCGGTCCACAACTCTTGGGTCACACACTCACACGAGGGGGCTGCCTGCGTCCAGCTTCGGTGGAGCATAGCATATAGAATAACAGAGTCGGAAGGGATCTTGGAGGTCATCTAGTCCAACCCCCTGCTGAAGCAGGAGACCCTGTATCATTTATTTTATCTCATTTTACCTACCCCGGAAGGATGGAAGTCTGAGTCAACCTTGAGCCGGTGAGATTTGAACCGCTGACCTGCTGAACAGTCAGCTAAAGTGGCCTGCAGTACTGCCCTCTAACTGCTGCGCCACCTCGGCTCATGACTCGTGGACTTCAATTCCCAGAATTCCTCAGCCAGCATGAGGGAACTATGGCCCCCTCATGACTCGTGGACTTCAATTCCCAGAATTCCTCAGCCAGCATGGAGGAACTATGGCCCCCTCATTTTATTTATTTATTTATTTATGAGTCTTATATACCGCTTTAAGTGCAAGCACTCTCTAAGCGGTGCACACCAGTAAGCAATGTGTGTGTGTGTGTGTGTGTGTGTGTGTGTGTGTGTGTGTGTGTGTATTTACATTGCCCCCAACAATCTGGGTCCTCATTTTACCTACCTTGGAAGGATGGAAGGCTGAGTCAACCTTGAGCCGGTGAGATTTGAACCGCTGACCTGCTGAACACAGTCAGCTAAAGTGGCCTGCAGTATTGCACTCTAACTGCTGCGCCACCTCGGCAGTTTCATTTCAGCCAGAGTGGCTGTCCGGTTTCTTTTTGAAAGTCTTCAGTGATGGAGCACCCACAATTGTATAATAATAATAATAAAGTTGGAAGGGACCTTGGAGGTCTTCTAGTCCAACCCCTGCGCATGGCAGGATTCCTCAGACCATCCCAGTCATATTTTTTGAAAACCTCCAGTAATGGAGCACCCACAACATCTGGAGGCAAGTCGTTCCACTGGTTAATAATCAGGAAATGCCTTTTTATTTCCAGATTGGATCCCTCTTTAATGGGCTTCTGCCCATTTTTTTTCCTCCTGCCCTCAGGTGCTTTGGAGAACAGAACAGAACAAAACAGAGCTGGAAGGGACCTTGGAGGTCTTCTAGTCTATTCCCCCCCCCCGCCTAAGCAGGAGACCCATTCCAGACAAGTGGCTGTCCAGTCTTTTCTTAAACGCTTCCAGGGATGGAGCAACTACAACTTCTGAAGGCAAGCCCTTCCACTGATTCATCGTTCTTACTGTCAGGAAATCCCTCCTTCTTTTCAATCTTTCTTTAATGAGAGATTATCTTTTGAGAACTTCAGGAATGTACTCCAAAGCACCAGAGGGCAAGACAAGAAACAACGGTTGGAAACTGACCCAAGAAAGAAGCAGGCTGGAATTAAGGAGGAACTGCCTAACAGGGAGGACAATCAACCAGTGGAACTCCTTGCCTCCAGAAATCGTGGGCTTTCCATCCCTGGAGGTTTTTAAGAAGAGGCTAGACAGTCACTTGTCTGAGATGGTATAGGTTCTCCTGCTTGAGCGGAGGGCTGGACTAGAAGACCTCCAAGGTCCCTTCCAGCTTCTATTCTATTCTATTCTATTCTATTCTATTCTATTCTATTCTATTCTATTCTACTCTACTCTACTCTACCCTACCCTACCCTACCCTACCCTACCCTACCCTACCCTACCCTACCCTACCCTACTCTACTCTATTCTATTCTATTCTATTCTACTCTATTCTATTCTATCCTTTCCCATCCCATCCCATCCCATCCCATCCCATCCCATTCCATATTTTCTATTCTATTCTATTCTATTCTATTCTATTCTATTCTATTCTATTCTATTCTATTCTATTCTATTCTATTCTACTCTACCCTACCCTACCCTACCCTACCCTACCCTACCCTACCCTACCCTACCCTATTCTATTCTATTCTATTCTATTCTATTCTATTCTATTCTATTCTATTCTATTCTATTCTATTCTATTCTATTCTATCCCTTCCCATCCCATCCCATCCCATTCCATATTTTCTATTCTATTCTATTCTATTCTATTCTATTCTATTCTATTCTATTCTATTCTATTCTATTCTATTCTATTCTGTTCTGTTCTGTTCTGTTCTGTTCTGTGCTGTTCTGTTCTGTTCTATTCTTGTCCCAGAGATGCTTTTTTTAAAAAGGCAACTGGACTTTGTTTTTTGTTGTTGTTTTTTTTTTTTTTGGATAAGAAGTGAAACATCTCCAAGGAAAAAAACAAAGTCCAGTCCAGTTGCCTTTTGAAAAAGCACCTTGGGGTCTGCAAGAAAACCACCAAGTTCAGAGAGCACCAAGGACACCGGACCCATACTCACCTATAGGAATCTTGATGGTCTCTGTTGGCAGGGAGGTGGGGAAGAGAGCACACCCTGTGGAGAGGAAGAAGAAGAAGAGGAAGAGCTGGAGGCCAGAAGGTCCCATGGTGCTTCCAAGACCCAATTCTCTCTGTCCCTCAATCACAAGTGGCTTCTTATATCCCACACGGTGATTTTTCCATGCTCAAGCCCAGCCCAGCCCAGCCCAGCCAAACAATAATGCTGGAGGGGGGAGGAGGGGGGGGAAAGGAGAAGAATCCTTCTGAGAGGAACTGGGACGTGGCTTTGATGAAAGCAGATGTCTTGTTTTCCAATCAAGGTGGAAAAAAAAGAAAGTGATGTAGGTTCTCCTGCTTGAGCAGGAGGCTGGACTAGAAGACCTCCAAGGTCCCTTCCAGCTCTATTCTGTTCTAAAGTCTTGCAGTTATGATTCCAGTCCCAGACAGATGCACCGGTTAGTAACTGGATGACAAAGCCTCTAGTGGCATCACAGGACATCCGACCCTGGTTGTGGAGGGCAGAGGCTTCTGTGGGTTGAGTTGAAGGCCTGAGAGTGGACTCTATGGTGAATAGAATAAA